CAAATTTTCGATTTATGAAACATTCTTTATTTTTTATAAATGTTTAAATTAATATATTTTAGAAGGTATTTAAAAGGTAAGTAATGTATCGACTTTCTGCTGGAAATTTAAGTTATAATCCTAAAACTCGAGTCTACATATCGCATATTTTCTTCAAATTATCAATTTAGCTGAATAAAATTTTTCAAATTGGTGGCAACCCGCTTCAAAAATATTTTCGAGTGTAAACTTTTTTAAACCTCTTTAGTTTGATACCAGTTTTGCAATATTTCATTTATTTGATCAATTTTGAAATAGATGGCAACCCTCTCCAAAAATATTTTCGGCAGCAGAACTTTCTAAATCTCTTAAGTTTGATATCCGTATTGCGATATTTAATTCATCTTATTAATTAAATTGAATTAAAATTTTCAAACAGGTGGCAACCTTCCACAAAAAATTTATCGTCTGTAAACCTTCTTACACCCCTAGATTTTGACAGCCATAAGGCAACATTTACTTTATCTTATCAATTTACTTAAACGGCATTCTTCAAATAGGTGGCAACTCTAAAATTTTTGTTTTTAAGTTAGACCTCTGGTAATACATGGATGAAAACCGCATTCAATTCCATGCATTAGTTTTCGAGTGACGCACAACAAACATACAGAGAGACGACAGACAAAAATTCTAAAAATTGTTGATTTGGCTTCTGTTGATCTAATAAATTTTTCTTTAATATCTATAATATACAGACATCGGCCGGTTACAGTTTTATTATATGTATAAACAAGGTGCACGTTTCAAGGTTCTAAAATATTGCGTTGATTTTTAGTTTTTTTATGAAAATTTGTTGAATTATTATAAATTTTGTGTAAAGTTCGAAAATCGAATTTACTTGGTTTTTGTATGCTATATTTTTTTTTTTTTAATTAATAAATACTAAATGAACAAAAAGAAAACTGTCAATACTAGGCATCAAAATTTGGGGTCGTATTCATGTAGCCGGCACTGTACATACATGCATATGATACGTATGTACATAAATGGCATAAAAATCTGGTATATGCCGCTGCCGTTTTGACCCCTTAATCATGCAATCGCAAACATACAAACGCACACCAGTACATGAAGCTGCATGCATGAATTTACAAGCGCATATATGGCCGCTTATCTACGTGTGCATGTGTGTATGTGTGGGCGTGCATTGTTGTATATGTCGAATGGTTTATATGCTATATCTATCTGTACACAATCATGACAAGGATTTCGACGGATTTCATTTCATTTTTTTTATTCTGCTCGTCCTTAATTTTAATCTCGCCCTCCGAATTTTTTGTAGTTCTCGTTTTTTTCTTTTTAATATTTTATTTAAATACATGCATACATAGATGTACGGTGTGTATTTTTTCTGGGCGGGTCCGGTTGTCCGGTAGCCGGACGGGCGTTGTCAGCAGTTGCCATTGCCATCATGTGAGTGCCATCAACATCGCCAGCATTTGCCTATGTATGGATGTACCTCCCATGGTCGACACCAATAATATACAATTATCTATGTACGCACGTACATATGTACATGCATATGTACATATGTACATATAGTGGTAGTATACCATTACCAGCAGCCACATTTTTGCCGTTGCCATGCATATTTTTTGTGCATTATAAGCATTTTTTTTTTTTAATTTATTTCGATTAATTAAAATTTAAAACATAAAAAATGTCCATACCATTGAAAAGTATGAAACATTTTAAAATAAAATCACAGTGGGCATTGTTGACATATCTGTGAGGTGAGTAAGTTGTTGGAGTGATTTATTCAATATTGTTTAATTAAAATTTCAATATTTGTATAAGTTAGAAAGAACGTGCACTAAAGAGCTATGTATGTAGATATTACGTTAGAGTGGATTCAGGAATACAAATTAAATATACTTCAGTACAAAATCAAAGTTTGTGCCAAATTTGAACTAAATCACCTCTTTCAGTATTAAGAACCACTCATATTTCGTAGATAGCCTTTGCATGTACAAATATAATTTTAGATTTGTATCAATGCTAAATTTTTATATTTTTTTTTTTACATAAACGAAACAAGTTGATTTACATACATATTTTGTAAATGTGGCAACTCACTTACAAACTACTTTCAAAATAATTTGCTGTAAAAGTGTAAGATACCTCGATGTATTTTTCAACTAACAAAATAACTAAGTTAAATTTGACTTTTTAAACCTAGTAGCAACCCCTTCCTAAATATTTTGGAGAAAAAGCATTCTTTAACTTCTTTCGTTTGGCACTTTTATTAAAAGGTTTCATTTAGCCTCTCAATTCTCTCAATTGAACTGGCAATTTGAAATGGGTGGCAGCCCTCTTCAAAAATATTTAAATAAAGCTTACTTCACTTACTGTCTCTTCACAAGTATTTTAGAGATAAAGCTTTCATCTCTCATTTGACACCCATATTAAAATATTTAATTCCACCCTCTTCAAAAATATTTCGAAATAAAGCTTAAAAATATTTTTCCAAATAAAGCTTTCTTATACCTATCTCGTTCACCATATTAGCATTGCTTCCAAGTTGTAAATTAGACAGATTTTGAATTTTTAAATAGTTGGCGACCCTCTTGAAAAATATTTTCGAAACAAAGCTTTCGTAAGCCTCTTTCACTTGATACCCGTATTAAAGTATTTCTTTAAACTTGTTAATTAAATTGTTTTTGAGTTTCTAAACAGGTGGCAACCCTCTTCCAAAATATTTTCAATGCAAAGTATTTTTAAACCTCGTTGGTTTGATAACCATACCAAAATAGTTCTTTTTACTTAACAAAATTTATTTTTTATTTTTAAACAGATGGCAACCATATTTAAAAATGTTTTCGAAACAAATTTTTTTACACCGCTATCGTTTAATGCTAATATGAATATATTTCCATTAACTCGTTAATTAAATTGATTTAGAATTTCTAAACAGGTGGCAACCCTATTGAAAAAATATTAAAGAATTTAATTTAACTGTCGCCATTCATTTAACTTTTTAACATCAGATTTTATATTTTGAAAAAGGTCGTGACGAAAATTAAGTTCCATAATTGGTGGAGATACCTCTTATGGGATGCTTGATGTTATAGTTAGACAGAGACAAGCATCACCATCAGCTTCGAACTGCAATCGGCGGGCAAAGATAAAATAAGCGGAAGAGCTTGCGACGCCTTTTACAGCCGACATGCGTAGCAGCGCGAGTTCGGCATCGACTTTGTCATGAGATTGACCTAAGTGTTGGTCGAATCACCCTTTCTAGCCATTTAAACCTAACCAAGTCCGTCGGCTAGTACTAGCATTCACACCGGTTAACGAGCGGCTCGGTGTTATCCCAAAGAAAGCGAGAATCTTAAACACCTCGTTCAATTGCGCCTATGTACGGACGAAGGACGAGGCGACCAAAGACCTTGTCAATGAGCATTTGGAGCCCACTTAAGAGCGCTGCCCACATCACGATATCAAAGTCGTGCTAGGTGATTTCAATGCCAGGGTCAGAAAGGAAGGGATGTTTGATCCGAACTTCGGAGAATTAAGCCTACACTATGAAGCAAACGATAATGAACTGGGGCTAATCGACACCGACGGGTACACAAAATGTGGTAGTCAGCGGAATTAGGTTCCAGTATAAAATAATTCATCAGGCTACATGGATGTCAAACATACATATACTTGGACAAATATCTTGTTACAGCCAAGCTAGCTATTTGAGATTGATATAGGGAGTTGAAGAGGGAAGAGGCCGATATACGTGAGTACGGACAGCTCAAAATTCTGGTCGACAGGTAAAATGCCCGGGAATTTTATCAGAAAGTTAGACGACTTAGGGAAAGTGTCTGTACCAGGGCGAATGCCTGTAAGAACTACTACGGCGACATTGTGGGCTTCATCCCTAGAACATACTTTAATTTTGGAGAGAACACTTTTCCACCCCATTGACTGGAAACAGCACTCAAAGGAGTCCAGAAGGAGAACACGAGCCACCAGTAGATGACGGCACAATCGATGTCCAATCGCCTGCCTATGACGAGGTACGAATAGGAATTAAGCGTCTGAAATACAACAAATCTGTAAAATACAGCTGTGTAAAATGACGTTGAGAAAAATTCAGAAGGACCTCCCCGAGCGGCTTAATAGAGGGCGATTTTCTTTCATGTAATTTCTTTAATCTGATATTGAAGACGATAGTAAGAGTTGAAGAACTGACCGCTGAAATAAGATTTTTTATAAGAGCCGTACAATTGCTGGCGTAGGCCGATGGCATCGACATCATCGGCGACAACAAGCTTTTGCCTTCTCGGAATTAGATAGAGAAGTAAAGCGTGTGGGTGGTGAACAAGGACAAAACGAAGTATCTTCTGTCATCAGACAAGCAGCACAAGAAGAATCCCTCTTGTCAAGGAGTGCTACTTTAGACTGGGTAGGCAATGTCGCAGACTATTGAACGATGACCACTACGAGCTTTAGAACGATTTGGACATAGTGCCGCTGGTTAAAATACAGTGCCGCTCTGCTGGCTCGACCATGTCTTACCAATGGATTCAAATGTTCTAGCTTTGAAAGTATTCAACGCATGTCGCAATGCGGGTAACAGAGGAAGAGGAAGGCCTCCTATGCGTTGGAAAGAATAAATGGAGAAGGACTTGGCTTCAATTGGCATTTTCAGAAGAGAAACGATTGGCGTTGTTTTCTGTACTCGGCTAGAATCGGTTGCGATGCTACAGCATCAATCAAGAAAAGGAAAATTTTACTCGCTAAATGAAATTCGTTAAAAATATGATTTTCAGTTATACGTAATTTTTTGTTAACATCTTGTCTTTATTTTCAAGTTGATAAAATTCATTTATGTACATACATTTTACATTTTAGTAAAATTAAACTTTTTAAACTAATTTCCTTACAGGTTATCTATGTATGTATACATAAATGTACGTAAATATTTACAACAAACAAGTAACGCAAAAATACTCTCCTCTGTTACACTAATTCCTCTGCCTGCTATTGCCGAGCGTTGCTATAAACGGCCGCTGTTCGCTGGGACACTCAAAATTGCTGAATGCTGGCACCATGTCGCGCAGCTTTTGTCCCATCGGCTGCATCATGCTATTCCACAGTGAATTTGACATGGCCGCATGTCCAAGCTGACTGAAGTGAAAACAATCGCTCGCAAAGTAGCGCAAATCTGTATCACCATTCTCGAGACTCGGCGAGACAACATGCGCCGTGAAGGGATGATAGATCACAGCAAACTCATTTGTTTGGAACTCCGGCAACTGAGCAACATACTGATCCACTTCATGCCAACGTGTGATGTGATCGTAGGCCTGTTGTAACTCCCGCTCCCCAATGGAATGGCTGAAAATGCAATGACAGCCAAGATGATGAACAGCGAGGCAACGAAGCGGTACATTGCGCATTGGATAGAGCGTGATGACCATATTGGGTACTGGCACTAGATTAACAAGCATTCGCGGCAAATTGTCACGCAGTAAAGTTAGCGCACGGCGCATATCCATTTCATGACGATGTACAAAATCGGTCATATTTTTATGGTGGCACATGTCGGAGCAAATATCATTGTTGCCGACAAAGATGGTTAGTAGCTTCCAGTGGTTCTCCACATCAACATTGGGATCGTGCCGCATGCGATCGATAAGTACACGCGCTTGATATGGCAGATCGCGTGACATGATCATCGGTTCGGCAATATTTAAGCGCGATGTGCTGTCCACAGTCAATTCATTTTCGGTGGAATAGCCATAGAGGTTTGGATTGAATACTTTCAATATATTGGGTAACGTTAGATATGTGCGCCAATCGCCATAACCGCCGCCAGAGAAGGAGAATGCGCGGAATTCATTTAAAATGTGCAACACACGATCCGACATAATGCCATTACCGGCTGAAAGTGAATCCCCAATGCAGGCAATCACATCGATGTCGCCCGGTCGCAGCTGATGAACCGAAGTGGGTGGGAATGTGGAGCGGGCATAGCTGAGATCGCAAGGGAAGGGTTGATCCAACGGTACGACGCGTTGCATTTTGCCCTCTGCGCGATTCTTCTCAAACAACGCGTCCATGTCTGTGCGCTGCATGGAAAAGCGACGCATAATAACGAAGAAATTACGCATTTTATCCAAATCAGTAGTGAGTACATTGCCTTTCTCTGCTTCATGCAGATCATCAATGGTGCGTTGCCCAATGAACTGAGCCCAAAATCTGTCCATTTTCTTTTGTCGTAGGCGTCGTAAAAAGTCGAAACGCTGCGCGGTGGTTTGCAAGTAGAGCGTGCAGAGCACCAATAGGACCAAATAAGCGGGCGTACGTAGTAGTAGAGCGTGCAGAGCACCAATAGGACCAAATAAGCGGGCGTACGTAGGAGGGACGTCATTTTTTACTTCATTAATTGATATGATTTAGTTTTATTTTATTTATTAGAATTTATATGATGGTCTTAGCTGGATTGGAGGAATAGTTTTAGGTACAGTATACCACGGCTAATGGGCTCTAACTTAAATAGTTGCGCTGCTTTTTTTAACTATTAACTGTGTTAAAAAAGCACTCTTCAATAGAACAAGTCCTAGCTAATTGTTTTGCAAATATTTTAACGAAAAATGGTGAATTTCTCATGCCCAATTAACCGGGGGATGCTGTAGTATCTTTTCGATGAAAAAAAAATTTTGTCAAAAACTGGTTAAAATTTGCGTCACAAAGGCATGAAATATATTCATTCATATTAAATGATAAAGTATAACGTTCTGAAAAGTCTTTCTAGACCTTATTGCTAGATACGACATCGCCACAAAATCTGGAGTACATTTTTTTTTTCACTACCCCCGCAGGTTGCTTGCTTTAACAAAAAAGGTTGAAATTTAGTGTAGTACAATACTTAAAACGAGCTATAAAACAACTAGTAAACCAACACCTGCGGAAAAGCAGAGTAACCCTTGAAGTCCTGGAGCCTCACCTCTCGTGCGGTGAGTAAACTTTGTTTAACCGTAATCTCATGTCCAACCCGGCCAAGTGACAGACTGAGCCACTTCAGCCGACAAGTCACACTTTATCCTTCGGTGGCTTAGACCAAACCTGGGGTTGTCAGAAGGCTGCACAAACTTTCAAAAACCACGTCGCGCCACGGAAAGGCAAAAGCCTCTAAAGCTATTTTTCCACTCGGAATATTCATTCTGATGCTTGAAAAAATTACACCAGGCCGATGTAGACTGACTACCTTACAAAAATCATTGACTCCGGATTTTTGCAAATCAAGGAGTGGNATACTTAAAACGAGCTATAAAACAACTAGTAAACCAACACCTGCGGAAAAAGCACAGTAACCCTTGAAGTCCTGGAGCCTCACCTCTCGTGTGGTGAGTAAACTTTGTTTAACCGTAATGTCATGTCCAAGTGACACACTGAGCCACTTCAGCCGACAAGTCACACTTTATCCTTCGGTGGCTTAGACCAAACCTGGGGTTGTCAGAAGGCTGCACAAATTTTCAAAAACCACGCCGCGCCACGGAAAGGAAAAAGCCTCTAAAGCTATTTTTCCACTCGGAATATTCATTCTGATGCTTGAAAAAATTACACCAGGCCGATGTAGACTGACTACCTTACAAAGATCATTGACTCCGGATTTGTGTAAATCAAGGAGTGATGCCACTGCTAAAGCAGAGGAAGCCTGCCAACAAAGGGAGACCTTATAACACTGATTTTCTGCTAATGAAGACACTTGAGGCGAAGCATCAGGATGGCTTCCAAAAATTACACAGCACCACCGTCTAACCTAGCGCCCTAAACAAACGGGTTATCCACCCTTGGACATAATCGGAACCACCTTTGTGAGAGAACCTTCTGGTTGCGTTGGACTTTAACAGGAGCTTTACACCATCTGCCACTCCACGCTACTAGAAGACATTGAGACCTTCTCTCTATCGTTTTGTAGGCGCGCTGCGATTGTCGGAAATTGTCAGTACCGTTTCGAAATAAAACTTCGAAGCGCACAGCATGTTGGTGGACATCTTCTGTTTGAGTTTTACATATCGAAGCTCCCTTAGCTATCAGAGATCGTTTCTCACTCTCTGACGATCTCTTCTGCACCAAAAGTAGCCCAAATATCTCGCCGTTGGAGTCCAAATTGCTAGTAAAGTGNCCTGCCAACAAAGGGAGACCTTATAACACTGATTTTCTGCTAATGAAGACACTTGAGGCGAAGCATCAGGATGGCTTCCAAAAATTACACAGCACCACCGTCTAACTTAGCGCCCTAAACAAAAGGGTTATCCACCCTTGGACATAATCGGAACCACCTTTGTGAGAGAACGTTCTGGTTGCGTTGGACTTTCACAGGAGCTTTACACCATCTGCCACTCCACGCTACTAGAAGACATTGAGACCTTCTCTCTATCGCTTTGTAGGCGCGCTGCGATTGTCGGAAATTGTCAGTACCGTTTCGAAATAAAACTTCGAAGCGCACAGCTATCAGAGATCGTTTCTCACTCTCTGACGATCTCTTCTTCATCAAAAGTAGCCCAAATATCTCGCCGTTGGAGTCCAAATTGCTAGTAAAGT